AAAGAAGACTTGATCGAGGTTTTCTCTAGTCCTATAATTCTGGTATATAGCGACCTATTTTCCTAGTGTCACGTTTTCTTTCTCTTTAGGTGTCAGTAGAGGCGAGCAGGTGGAGCAGAGTCCTTCCACCCTGAGTGTCCAGCAGGGAAGCAAGGCTGTTGTCAACTGTAACTATTCGGACAGTACCTCAAGCTACTTTCCCTGGTATAAGAAAGAACCTGGGAAAAGTCTGCAGCTGATAATATACATTCTTTCAACAAAGCCAAAAGAACAAGACAAAAGATACACGATTTTTCTGAACAAGAATGAGAAACATCTTGCCCTGCACATCGCAGACACGCAGCCCGAAGACTCAGCTGTGTACTTCTGTGCAGCAAGCACACATTGCTTCCCAGGCACCTGCAACCTGTGCTGAAACTCAAGTTTTGGGGGCAGCCCCCTTTTCTTTGGTTCTGTTAGGTTTGTCTGCAATGGAAGCTAATGTATGAGACAGTAAATTATAAAAGAAGTCAGATTCATGCAGATGTGAAAGAGTTAAAAATTTTGTTAAGTAAATGTTGCTGAATGAATCCTTGAAGAAATTTTGTTATGTTTTATTTTAAAATAAAGTACTTAAAGATAATTCTACATTTTTTTAGTCTCTGCTAATTAACTAATCCTTTGTAACAAGGTCTAATTTCTTTATAAGGAAAGGTAAGGTAAGGTAAAGGCCCTCCCGTTGATCGTCGATGTGCTCGAGCGGGCCCAGTAACGTCTCCATTGGAGACTTTGTTGTTACTGTGTCTGGCATATCGAATACTCTGGGTAGCTTGCCGGGCTCTCCGAGAGGGGCAGAGGAATCGAACTCGGGTCGACCATGTTGGCCGCTTGTAAGGTGAACGCCCTACCACTGTGCTATGAATGAGTTTTTATCTTTTGTCTTCAGTAATGCATGCTATTTAGTAGAACATAACATAAACATGAACAAAACGCTGTCTCGTTTGCCAATGCGTCAAAAATCAGATGGACTGGACATGTAATGAGATTTGAAGATGACCGCTGGACTAGAGCCGTTAACCGACTGGATTCCACGGGACATCAAAAGACCACGTGGCGGCACCTACCTGATGGTCAGACTTCTTCATCAAGATCCTGAAAGATCGGTTTGAGGCTCTTCGTGTTCCTAGAATGAAAAGACGCCATTGGGCTACCCTAGCACGCGGCAGGGACAAATGGAGACATTACTGGCGCCCGCTCAAGCAAATAGGTGATAAACTGATAGCATGCCAAATATAAAATATAAATATGTTAAATGCATAATAAACTCAGATAATTTATTGCTTATATTTAGTTTTACTGTCATTGCAAATTACTGTACAATTAGAATTTAATTTTTTTCCTAGCTAATATTCTATCTTGAATTGAGTAATCTAAATTTATTTGATTTCTTCTCCAGATTTGTAATGGGTTTGTAAGTACTTGTCAACATAAAAAGTAACTTTTGCTGTTATTTATTTGTGATAAAATTTTATATATTTATAGATCTCTGGTGGCTGGAGCAATAACACAGCGGGTAGGGTGTTTGCCTTGCATGTGGCTGACCGGATTTGATTCCTCCATCCCTCTCGGAGAGCCCGGCAAGCTACCAAGAGTATCCTGCCTGCACGGCAGAACCTGGCAAGCTCCCCGTGGCGTATTTGATATGCCAAAAACAGTAACAAGTCTCACAATGGAGACATTACTGGTACCTACTTGAGCAAATCAATGAACAACAGGAGGACAGTGCTACAGTCCTTCTTCTCTGGTAAAAATTTGACAGCTCTTCTTGTATGCTCTGGGCCACTTTCTTGTTACAATAGTTTCACCAGCATTTTCCACTAGATCCTAGTCATGTTTATATTTCTTGTGTATCTGAGGGAACTTACTAAGTGAAACTATGTATTGTAGAACATGAAATTCAGATTCAGTTCACAAATATGCTTTTAATTCTCTATACTGTATTAATACTGTTTTATATTTACTTTTAAAATTTAGAAAAGTTATTTTTTTTGAGAATTTAGTCTTTTAATTATGAATACAGAGAACAAAGTTTTAATGTAAGCCTTGTGATTAAATTTTAAATTTTTTGTGAATAAGAAACATCTGAAAGTTTGACATTTAATTATTCAAAAAATTTAGCAAGAACATGACCCATAAATCTTTATTACTTTAGAATTTATCCCCACTTTATTTTTATTGTTATATTTATAATATGAAATCATTGTCATTTGTATATGTGAAAATTTTATTCGTATTTGCTGTTCATTTTACTGAACTCAAGAAAATGAATGGAAATTATATTTTTTATTAAGATTAATTCCTAAACCATTTTCCCATGCGACACGAATTAGCTGCTCTTCAGATTCTTTTAACATTCCCTCATATTCTTACTATGCATAAATTGGCAGCTGCTATGCTGAGCTGATACATCTTGGCTGAGTCTTGGCTGACAATTATTTGCCAGTAAATTTAAGCTTACAGGGAAACTTAAATTGAAATGAACACATTTGAATAAGAAAATCAGTATTACAGTCCTCAAACACAATTGGCTTTATATTTCTCTCAGGGTAACAACTAGCACCTGTGACAGAAAACATGATGATTCCTTTTTTTTGTTTTGTTTTTTGGGACACACCCAGAGATACTCAGGAGTTACACCTGGCTCTGCACTTAGGAATCACTCTTGGTGGTGCTCAGGGGACCATATGGGATGCTGGATATAGAACCTGGGTCGGCCGCATGCAAGGCGAATGCTGTGCTATTGCTCCAGCCCTGATGATTCTTAGTTAGACTGTTTCTTAGAGAATCCTCACAGAAGGAGAGGGAACCTACACTCAGTTTACTGGTTTCGTCTTTAATTCAAATTAGGAGAGAGAAGGTTCTGATACCATGGCTTTGAAGTGCCTTACCACACTTGGGGAGAATTTATTGTATGCAAGGAAAAGAAAATCTCTAGGGTGAGAATCTAGATTGATTCAGATACAGATAATTTAAGTTTAAACTTCCCCCAGGCCTGATTTTTTTTCTACTCTCTGGATAATTTGCCATAATCTTGGTGAATAAAAGCAATAAAAGGCCTTTCCTGGGTCTGGAGGTCAGGAGTTGAAAATTGTTTTTCTTGTGCTGAATGAAATGGAGGTGTTAGCAGGGATGCCTCTTTCCAGAGGCTCCAGGACAGAACCTGCCCCTTTCCTCTGGCAGCATTTCTTAGTGGGTGGGTGTCATTCCAATCTCTGTCTCCATGATCTTGCTTTGATGTCTGTGGGATCCCTGGGTGACTTAGGTGGAGTGGGGAGGAGAGAGGGGGCAGCCTGTAGAAGGGGATCTGCTACGTCCTCTTGATCTACCTCTGCCCTGTGGGAACAGCTGGAGAAATCTAGGACTGCCAGGAATCAGCTGTGAACCTTGCTCCTTGCAGGAAAGGGAAGTCGGTCCTGGACCTTCCCCGGGCCTTTTCGGTTTTCATTTTCCCCTCAGAGAAAAGAATTTCAGCAGACTAGCAGTAAAGTATAAGGTTTTCTTTAAGTTTTTATGAAGGGGAAAGCGGGGGAGGGGGGAAGGAGAGGGAGGGAGAGAGAGAGCAAGAGAGAGAGAGAGAGAGAGAAAGAAAGAGAGACAGAGACACCGAGAGACAGAGAAAAGGGAGAGACAGAGAGATACATGAGAGGGAGAGGGAAAGAGAGAGAGAGAGAGAGAGAGAGAGAGAGAGAGAGAGAGAGAGAGAGAGAGAGAGAGAACATGGGAACCCCAGTACACCCCATCATAACACATGGGCACAGACAGTACATGGGCGTAGGCAGCACATATGAGTACTTCCTTTGTTCAAGTTGACTATTATAGTGTTTTCCCAACCTGCCCATGTATGTCTTTCTACCTAGGTAAGAGATTGTTGCTAGAGTTGATTGCCAAGGGGGTAGAATTGGGAGTAGTTGATGGTCTTCTTTGATATTCCTTTCCAGGCCTTTGTTTTGCTGGAGCTTCTCTCTGAGAGGGATCCAGTCTTTTCTGGGTCTGTGCTGGCCCAGAGAAAGGTTTTATCAGGTCTTAGTTCCTGTGCTCACAAGATGGCTTTTTTCAGCCCTGGGGCTATTGGATACTTTACTTCCCAGGAACTCATTGTCCTGAGGGGCCCTTTCCTAGCTACCTGTTACCTGCTTCAATTTCATTTCTTCCATTAGCAAATCTCTCACTGTGTCCCACTTAAATTATGCATGTCATTGCATTTAGAACAAATAATCCAGAAATTTTCCCCCATCTCAGGATCATGACTTAATCAGAACTTCATTTACCCTCTTTAGCACCTATATAGTTGAGGACATTTGAAGACTGGGAGATTTAGGATCTGATTTCATTTTATTTGTTATTTTACCCTTCAAGGCTGAGGATTTTCCAAGTTGGAAAAACAAGATAATGTACTTACTGGTACCCAGTTATAAAAATAGATCTCAGTGCCTTATCATCTCAATGATTTCACCTCTCAAAAATCATGTAGAAATTGATTCTATTTCTGTGCAACTATACGTGTGACTTTCAAATTCTCATATAGTGTGTAGGTCATGTAAGCATCACACAATTATGGTACAAAACCCCAGTGCTTGTTCTGGGAAGTTATCCTCATATTATCATTTTCTCTCTCAGGCTTACCTCCTGGAAAGACATAATTCATTCTTTTTTATATTTTTATCTTATTGAGAATGTCACATTAATGTAAACATAAATTTCTCCCTGCCTCTCCGATATAATTATGTGCAAAGGAGGACGTGGTTAATGAATGTGAGGGGAATGTGGGTTGGAGGAGCCTCTCAATGCAAGGGAAGTTTGATCTGACACACACCAACTTGCTGTACCAGGAACCCCCTGTTTCCTGTTAGGGGGCAGCAGCAGCACAGACCCAGCAGTTTTTCCCCTCACCCAGTCAGACTCACCTCACAGTGCAGAGCCCTGTTACTGAAGATATTTTCGGCTGGTGGAAGAACGGAGGCATGTTGCTCTGCGGTGCTCTGAAGGTGTTCCTGGCTTCCATGTGGCTAGGTGAGCATGGCCCCAGTGGGAATGCGCTTCCTCCATGGCCAAAGGACTGGATACAGCAGTGTCCTGTGGGTACCCTGGATTGCAGGGTAGCAGAGTGCAATACGGAATCTCTTTGGCCCACACCTCTTATCTTTTTTCCCCCTTCCAGGATTCAGTGTTTCCCAGAATGTAAATCAAACTTCGTCTTCCATACTAGTGCAAGAGACAGAGACTGTGACCCTGGACTGCACATACGATACCAACTCCTTCAGCTACGGTCTCTTTTGGTACAAGCAGCCTAGCCATCGGGAAATGATTTTCCTTATTCGTCAGGTCTCCTATAATGAGGAAAATGCAAGAGAAGGTCGCTACTCACTGGATTTCCAGAAGACAAGCAAATCCATCAAACTTGTCATCTCAGCCACCCAGGTGGAGGACTCTGCAGTGTATTTCTGTGCGCTTAGTGAGACACAGTGAGTGGTGTGCCGGAGGGAGGCGTACCAGAACAGCAGAGCTCTGCTTGATGCATCCGCCTGCTGTAGGGATCAATACACAGAATTGCGGGTGCAGACAGGAAGTGGTTGGTCTGTGGCAGCTCCAGAGTAGAGTTAAAGAGAAACAGTGAGTTTAAGTGAGAACCTCTCCAGAGTTAGTACCCTGATTTATCCTCAACACCACATGGTCCATCTAGTTATTCTGGGTGTAGCCTAGAAGTCTCTGAGCACTGCACTCCATGATCCTGAATGCCAAGGAGCACTACTTGAAGTAATGCTTGGTGCTACAGGGATAGAGGACCACTGCCTCTTCAGAGCTTACACTGAGGTGACTACTGGATGGATAAGAACTGCCAGGAGGGCTTCCAGGGCCACCTGACAATTTTTGTGAAGCTAAAACAAAATTATTGCTATCGTGGGTTCATTGCCCATGTCCAGAATTATCATTCACCTGTCACATTCTTTCTCTTGAAATTTTGTTTTAATTAGAGATATACAGAATTTTGTAGTAGATTCAATAGCTACCTGGCTAAATAGAATCTTTGCAATAGGTGATTTGATTGAGCTATGAAATTTGGCTGATGAATTTGAGAACCATCTCATAGAAAAATCAGCTCTGCCTGCGAATTGTATTTTAGATATTAAGATCTACTCAGTGTCTCTATATCTTCTTTTTTAGTTCATATCATGAATAGGAAGAAAAATTCTCTATCATGTTTGGGTCTCTAACAATTAAACTATCATGAGGCAGATTAATGAGATAATAGCATATGAATTTTTTTGAAATAATTTTGGAGGCTTGCCACGCTCTGACGTGTGGCCAAAATACTCTTGGTAGCTTGTCGGGCTTTCCGAGAGGGGTGGAGGAATCGAACTCGGGTCGGCCATATAGACTGTGTGCAAGGCAAACGCCCTACCGCTGTGCTATCGCTCCAGAGTGGTAGGGCGTTTGCCTTACAAGCGGCCAACTTGGCCGACCCGAGTTCGATTCCTCCGCCCCTCTCGGAGAGCCCTGCAAGCTACCGAGAGTATCTAGCCTACACGGCAGAGCCTGGCAAGCTACCCGTGATGTACTCGATATGCCAAACACAGTAACAACAAGTCTCATGATGGAGATGTTACTGGGCCGGCTCAAGCAAATCAATGAACAATGGGAGGACCGTGACCATGAATTTTGGAGGAGGTTTAGGGCACACTCTCAGATGCTCTGGGATTATTCTGGCTTTGTACTCAGGAATCACTTCTGTCCTTTCTTGGGGGACCATATGGGGTATATCCATACTTTCATCTTAACAAAAATTTTTTTGAGACTGAAAATTATTTCACTGTATATAACAATATACTTACTATTTACCTTGGTCGAGAAGTCAACATGACGAATGACCTGGCACCTGAGTTGAGCAGAAGGAAGAGAGCGACTTGGAATGCCTTTAAGAGTGTCAAAGAAATAGCTAAGAGGATGAAGAACCTCCAGCTCTGGGCACATCTCTTCAATTCCACTGTTCTTCCTGCATTAACATATGCCTCAGAGATGTGGGCACTACAAAAACAGGATGAGAACGCTATTCAGGCCTCCCAAAGAGGAATCCAAAGAACTATGTTTGGAGTATCACGCTTCACTGAAGTGAGAGAAAGAATCCGGAGTTCCGACTTCCATCAACGATGGAGAATCAGGGACTCTGTCTTGTTTGCCAAGGTGTGGAAAATCAGATGGGCTGGACATGTGATACGATTTTGAGATGACCACTGGACTAGAATTGTTACCATCTGGATTCCATGGAACATCAAAAGATTGCGTGGCTGCCCACCTAGGAGATGGTCAGACTTCTTCATCAAACCCTGAACGATCAGTTTGAGTCTCTTCGTGTTCCTGGAGCGAGCAGACGCCATTGGGCTACACTAGCATGCCATAAGGACGAATGGAGATGAGCAAATCCATGAGTAATGGGATGTCAAGTGATCAAGTGAACAATATATGCTCATTATTACTTTTCTTCTTATTATTATCATTATCATTAGTTTTGGGACCAACCTCATGATGCTCAGGGGTTATTTCTGTTCTATACTTAGGGATCATTCCTGGTAGGTTCTAGGGACCCTTTGGGGTACTGGGGACCAAACTCGGGTGGGCCGTCCATGTGCAAAGCAAGTGCCCTTCCCATTGTACTATTGCTCCAGCCCCTATATATGCTCAATAAATTACTTGGTGAATTCTGTAGTTGCTTCCATTTTTTTACTATCTTGAATAATACTGTTTTGAACATAGGTTGAAAACAGATCTATAAATATACTGAATATATAGTTAGGTTATTTCCATTTTGGTAAGGACTATTTTCATAATTATTGGATAATATAGTCACTCTATCCAAGTTTTTTAAAGGAACTGTCGTACTGTTTCCTTCACTGACTGACACTTTATGCTTCACCAACAATACAACAAGGTTCCAATTGTTCCATGGTTTTCTCATTTATGCTGACCAAATGGGATGGACTGCGTGAGGAGTAAGTATGTTGTACAGTCAAGAGTTAGCAGGTGGGTTGGGCTGGCATTGTGGGGCTGGCAGTCTTGTAAGGCTACAGTGAGAGGAGGGAGTAGTTGGTGCACCTACTGACCTGCACAGTGAGGCAGGGGTGGGGGTGGGAATTCTGGAGCAGAAGTTTGCTGGGAGTTATAGCAGTGCTTGGCCTTGTTGACCCCCTTCAACCATTTTTAAGATTTGTTTGTTTTGGTCTTTTTTGTTCTTGAGTAGTAGAAAGTTTTGATTAGTATTCTAAATGCTAACCTCCTACAGATATTGGATTTGAAAATATTTTCCACAATTCTGTAAATTAGATAATTCAAAATTTCACTGTGTTGCTTGTTTCCTTTATGTAGAGAATTTTAACATTTTGATATAGTGCAAATATCTGCTCTTTTATTTTCTTTGTTCTTAATTTTTTTGTGTGAGGTGTAGGAATAAAACCCAGCATATACTACATACCCCATGTACTCTACCACTAAGTCATATCTTCAGCCTTCCCATTTCTTTTTCTTGTGTTACAGGGTAGTGCGATGCTATTAACTAGATAGTGTTTCATTTGATGCATCAGAAAGATTTTCCTTCATGTTTTCTTCAAGTAGTTTTTGGTTTTATGTTAATGTTTTGTCTTTTAGCCATTTTGATTTATATCATTTTTTTTATATGGCATAAGGTAAGGGTCTAGCTTCATTCATTTGATGCTGCTTCTCTATTTTTCTAGCACCTTTTATTGTGGAAGTGTGTTTTCACCACTAAATAGTCTTGGGGCTCTTGTTGAAAGTTTATCTGACCATGATGTGATGATTTATTTCTGAGCTCCCTGTTCAATTCCATTGGTCCATATATCTGTCTTTATGTCAGTATTCCACTAGGGTTTCACTTCTGGTTTGTAATAAATTTTGCAGTCATGAAGCATGAGGCCTTCACTTTATTCTTTATTTTATATATTTGCTATTTGGGCTTAGGTCCACAAAATGTTGTGTTTTGTTCTATTTCTGAAAAACATCTCTGGGATTTTAATAGGGAATACAATGAATGTGCTTATCACATTTATCAGTTCCGTGCCATTAATTATGTTTCAGTTAATGACTGAGCTAATATACTGTGATGCTTTTGATATGGTCTGTGTGCAGGCAGTAAGCAATACTATCTAGGTAATATCATAGTACTACCCTATAGCACAAAAATGAGAATACCTAATCACATATTTCTGCATGTATGTTCCCTAGTAAGCAATGTATGATTATATTACAATATATGATTATATTTTATATGTAATAATGAGTATATTACAATATATTAAAAGAAACTCTCTTCCCAGTATTTGAATTTTCTTACTTGTTTTCAGTACTGCATAGTTTTCAGTGTATAGTCTTACACTGCATAACAATGTTTGGTTAATGACAGGCTGACGTATATGAAAGCTACTCCTGTATTCCTGTTGCCTATTGATGATGTCGCCATTGTCAACTTGTAGTGCTTTATGCTGGCAGCAGTCTCATTTTTCATATTTGCCCTGTCTCTTGATGACGTCATTTTTACTCATGCTTGATTTAACCTTGTGTTTTTTCACCATGCCACCAAAATGTATGAACACTCCTAACGATGTGTTAGCAGCTTGTTGAGTGATTGACCTAGAAACAAAATTAAAACTGATAAAGAATGACAAGAGTAAAATTAGTAGTGATTATTGTTGTCTCTATTAAGTTATGGTCCATTCCACCATAGTTATAAACTTGATGACCTAGAAAAAGTGAGAGAAGCTGTTATAAAGCTGCTTCAATGAACACAAGGAGATTAACAAATTATAAAGCTTATATATCTATAAGATATGATGAAACTTATAATGGCCTGATTGAAACCTGACATAGTTTTACCTCTCTCAGTAACTAAATGATTGCAACCGAAACAAAAATCTTGTTGGACAATGAAAAAATCTTTCCTGAAAAATAGTATTATCTTTGGCGGTTCAATCAATGTCAGAGTCAGTTTTCCTTACAAAATGTTTAAGTGAGTGGTATGTCTGCAAGTGCTCATGTAAAAGTCCCTCAAGAAAAAAAAAAAGGAAGAAAGAAAAAATTCTAGAGGAGCTGAATGTGTAGGAAAATCACTTTACAGCAAATCTTTAATATGGATGAAAACTTATTAACCTGATTTTGTGTGTCCACATGTCGGGAGAAACACAACTCTCACACACATAAAGTACGCACTTTACCAATCAGCTACATTTCATTCCTAAAACTTCCTAATTTGGAACATATGCTCCGAAGGTTTTTCTTTTGTAAGGAGAATGCCAGACATTCAGGATTTTTTTTTTCTTTTTTGGTCATACCTGATGATGCTCAGGGGTTATTACTGGCTCTGCACTCAGGAATCACTCCTGGCGATGCTCAGGGGACCATATGGGATGCTGGGATTCAAACCCGGGTTGGCTGCGTGCAAAGCAAACACCCTACCTGCTGGGCTATCGCTCCAGCCCCATAACATTCAGGTTTTTAAGGGCAAGAGAGCAATATTGTTTGTGGGCAAAAGTTGTGGGCTAATACTTGGTGATTTGGCACAGTGAGAGCCCTAAGGCCTTCTGGCATCAATAAGCTGTTTGCTACAGAGTTATGAGGCTGTGTGTGACCCTGCTTCTCTTCCAAGATTTCCCTACTGAATTACAATGCCAGTGAAATGTAGAAGTGCTTTTTGGAGAATAATATCTTTTATGATTGAGTTTATTGCTTATAATGCCCCCCAGATACACGCTTTTATTGGTGATCTTCATCCCAATATCAAAGGTGTTTCTCATTCCAAACACCACTTTGGTTCAATGGTGGTTAAGAATCACTTAATCACTTAATCACTTAATCCCCGTTATTCATCGATTTATTCGAGCGGGTGCCAGTAACGTCTCCATTCATCCTGGTTGCGTGCTAGCATAGCCCAATGGTATCTGTTCGTTCTAGGAACATGCAGAGCCTCAAACCAATCATTTAGGGTCTTGACGAAGAAGTCTGACCATCTTATAGGTGGGCGTCCACGTGATCTTTTGATGTTCCATGGAATCCAATCAGTAATGGCTCTAGTCCAGCAGTTGTCTGTAAACCTCCTTACGTGTCCAGCCCATCTGATTTTTGATGTCTTGGCAAATGAGACAGCGACCCTGATTCTTGAGCGTTGACGAAGATCAGAACTCCGGATTCTATCTCTCATTTGAGTGAATCGTGATATTCCAAGCATAGTTCTTTCGATTCCTCTTTGAGAGACCCGAATAGCGTTCTCATCCTGTTTTTGTAGGGTCCAGGTCTCTGAGGCATATGTTAATGCAGGAAGAATAGTGGAATCAAAGAGATGTGCTCGTAGCTGGAGGTTCTTTGTCCTTTTAGTTATTTCTTCAATGCTCTTGAAGGCATTCCAAGCCGCTCTCTTCCTCCTGCGCAACTCAGGTGCCAGGTCATTCATCATGTTGATTTCTCGACCTAGGTATATATAACTGTTGCATTCGGAGATGGTGGTTCCATTGAGAGCGAATGGAGCGTCAGGAACAAGGCTGTTTCTCATAAACATTGTCTTCGTAAGATTCAGCTGTAGTCTGACCTTTCCACATTCACTGTCAAAGTCGTTCAGCATTTGTGCCGCTTGGCTGATGTTTGGTGTTATTAGAATGATGTCATCAGCAAAGCGGAGGTGGTGTAGTTGCCGACCATCTATCTTCACTCCCATGTTTTCCCATTCCAGTCGTCGCATGATGTTCTCGAGGGTGGCACTGAAGAGTTTTGGTGAAATGGTATCACCCTGCCGAACCCCTCTCTTGCTATGGATGATTACTTCTTTGTAGAATGGTGAGATTTTGGTAGTGAATCCGCAATAGAGCTCACGAAGGATCCTGATGTATTGAGTTTGTACGCCCTGATTGGCTAGGGCTTCCATGACCGCTTCTGTCTCAACAGAATCAAAGGCCTTCTTTAAATCAATGAACATTAGACAGAGAGGCATCTTGAACTCCCGAGATACCTCAATGAGCTTGGTTATTGTGTGGATATGGTCGATGGTACTGAATCCTTTTCGGAATCCAGCTTGTTCACATGGTTGTCCTTCATCTAGTGTTCTGCTAATCCTATTCAGGATGACTCGAGTGAATAGTTTGTAGATGACAGATAATAGGCAGATTGGGCGATAGTTGCCAATGTCGTGGATGTCTCCTTTCTTGTATAGTAGTACAGTCCTGCTGGTTTTCCATTGGGATTGGACCTTGCATTCAGACAGGTAGCGTGTGAAGAGTCGAGCCAATGTATTGATGAGTACTGATGGTAAGTTCTTCAGGTGTTCAGGTCTGATCTTGTCTGGGCCAGGTGCTCTTTGTTTCTTTACCGACGAGATGGCATGTTGGATTTCGGAAGGGAGAACATTGGGAACGACATATCCATCATGTGGTATGTGGTATGTGGGCAAGTGGATGTGGCTATTAAAGAGATCTGAGTAGAAGTCATGAATAATCTTCTCCATTGCCCTTCTGGAAGATGTGATAGATCCATCATGATGTCGGAGGGCAGTCATCTTGGTTTTGTAGTTGGTGAAGGACAGGCGGGCATTACAAATGTTTTTTCCAGCTTCTGCTGCTCTCCTGTTTTTGAGGTCATCCTTGATGGCTTCTCTGCACTGTTTTGCCAGTTCAGATGTTCGCTTGTGGTTGCCTGAGGCATGTGCCAAGCCACGTTGGCGAATAAGTTCAAGAGTGTTCGAAGAAAGACGGTTTTTGTGGTTATCTCTCTCTTGGCATTCCTTGCACAATCATGGAGGTGCTGAATCATTCGATCGTATTCCTCATCAATGTTGTCAATGACGGCATCTTCCCATGTTGCCGCAATAGAGCCAAAGAGCTCCCAGTTGGTGGTTTTTCTGGGAGTCCTCTTCTTAAACCTTGCATTCTTTTCTCCTCGTTCTGTGAGGTAGAATTTTGCAAGAAGAAGACGGTGGTCTGATCCCGTTTGGAATTTTGGGTAATATTTGTGATAATCTCTGGATCCTGGCCGTTGTTGGGGTTACACGGCAGTTGGAGGGTGTAACTGTCTAGTTACTGACAGGTCCAGTCCCAAAACCGTGCAGGCTTGGAGATCTCAGCCCCGGGTCCCACACACCTGGGTTCCTCTGCCAGTTCTGTTATATCTGAGGCTTATCCAAGTGTGTGGAGAGTGGCCCCAGTAAGGCCTTGCTTGGGGCCTGGAGGTCTTCAGCTGTTGGGCCCTGGCGAGGATAGTCAGACACAGGGTAGGAGACTCTGCCTTGTGCTTTCCCGGGAGCTTGTTGTGATAATCTCTGGATCCTGGCCATTGTTGGGGTTACACGGCAGTTGGAGGGTGTAACTGTCTAGCTACTGACAGGTCCAGTCCCAAACCGTGCAGACTTGGAGATCTCAGCTCCGGGTCCCACACACCTGGGTTCCTCTGCCAGTTCTGTTATGTCTGAGGCTTATCCAAGTGTGTGGAGAGTGGCCCCAGTAAGGCCTTGGTTGGGGCCTGGAGGTCTTCAGCTGTTGGGCCCTGGCAAGGATAGTCAGACACAGGGTAGGAGACTCTGCCTTGTGCTCTCCCGGGAGCTTGTGGTTAAGAGGTGGTTAAGAAACGGGTTTTTTTTGTGAGTTAAGAGGTCAAGGAATTCCGGTAAAACTTTGATGGAAATGGCACCTTTCTCCATCCTGTGTGTGGATGATCATGGAGTTAAGCTTGTAGGAGCAGTTCCTAAGGACCTGTTGATCAATGTGGAGGTATTAGTACTGCAACAGGAATACATAGCTGAATAAGAGATGAGAGAAAAGAAAGTGTGGAGGAAAAAAAAAAGAATTCACAGTAAAGGGTCTAGTGAAAGATTTTGCAGTTATCAACAGTTTGAAAAAATATAAAACATAAACTCTCACACAGAAATAATTTTATTAGAACAGCGAAATATTTTTTTAAATTTTATTTATTTTTTTATTAGCAAAACACCATGAGGTACAGTTGTAGACTTACAAAATTTCATGCTTGGGTTTTAGTTATACAATGATCGAGTACCCATCCCTCTACCAGTGCCCATTATCCACAACCAATGATCCCAGTAGCCCTCCCACCCGCCCCCCCACCCCATCCTCCCCCCACTGCACCTCTGGTGGCAGGGCATTCCCTTTTGCTTACTCTTTCCTTTAGGGTGTATATTTTGCAATAGAGGTTTTGAGTGACCATTATGTTCGGTTTATAGTCTATTTTCAGCATGCATCTTGCATCCCAAGCATTCTTTACTTGGTATTCCCTTCTCTATCTGAGCTGCCTTTTCCCCCAGCATGTGCTGCCAGCTTCCAAGCTGTGGAGCAAACCTCCTGGTACTTATCTCAACTATTCTCAACAATAATATTTTAACAATAATAACAATAATATTATAATTATTTCTCAACAGCAAAATATTAAGGAGAATCATCTGTTTAAAAGCAAACCTATGTATGATGAAAAGAAGCGAACC